CGATATCCCTTCCCGCCTTTTCAACCCACCTCCTACTCCCCAGTACAGCTACCGTTCTTTCCTCTCTATTCCATGCCCCAAACATCTCCCTGTACGTCCTATCTCTTTTTCCCGGCTCAGTCACGTACACTTCCCTCTCCTTCTTGTACAACGGACATTCCGCGACTACATGAACACGGTCTTCGCATTCGAAGCCGCAATCACATTTGAACTCGTCGTCTTCGTCGTCTACCGTTCTATGTCTTCGTCGACGTTCTCGAAGGAGGGGGGGGGGGGTACTCTTATGTTTTGCATGCCTTAGCGGTTAGACCATTGACCACGCGTCCTCGAGAGGATGGAGCATTTTTCCCACAGAACTGGGAGGGGGAGGGAGAAAAGCCGCACGTTTTTAGAAAAAATACATGAGAACACAGAAAGTCCGACGGTTTTCCAGCACCACTCGCAAAAAGTACCGTGGTTCTTCTTTTCTTTTCGGGGCGGGACCGCGGGACGGAAAAACCGCAGCCGCGCGTACCCCGGGCGAGGCAACGGCAACGATGACGACAATTCAAACAAAACAAAAGACGAGAAAAAAAAAAAAAGCTAACAAGGATTTTGAAACAACGGCATCGACGGCAAGGCCAAAAAAGCTATGTACGGCCCTCCTTGACAAAAACACACCACGAAATCATTGTGCGCGAGGAGGGATAGCAAGCAGCCAGCACCTCCGCCGCCACTATCGTCATGCCCACACGACAAACAACAACATAATTGGAGGCCTGGGTCGGAACGACAGCAAAGGTGCGATCTGCGAGCGATGGCGGAATAGATGAGGATGGAAAACGGCAAGAGAAAAAACTATTCGCGCATACCTCGCGCGCTTGATGTGAAGACGTTGGCAGAGAGCCTCCGCCACCTCGCTAGTGGACCGCCCGGCCTTGTACACCGAGAACTCCAGGTACTCCCCTCTGCCCTTAGGCCATGAGGCTCTCGACTTTCGCTTCTCGAATGACACCTATGCGAACGCGCATGTATGTACGTACGAGCGAAGTCGTCGTCGTCGCCGTTGCTGGTTCTTTTGTACAACCTCAACAGCGGTACAGCAGAAGAGGTCCGTCTTTAGTGCCGGGGTGTGCACTAAACCGGACACCGGCACTATTCAAAGTACAGAACGACTTGGTATTCCAGTGTGTGCGAGCCGAAAACACTACACCGGCACTATACCGGGGACCGGCACTATTCAATCGGCACTAAACAGGGACCTCAACAGCGGTAGTAGGTGGAAAAAAATTGCTCTTTTTCTGTTTTGGGTGGGAAGTGAGTAAATTGGTGTGGTCTCTCTTTGTTGTCTATCCCCCATGAATCAAGAGCAAGAACCGCGAGAATGGAACTTGAGCATGTTAAAATGGACATCGACCGCTGTAGCTGTCCGCATGTTGGCGAGTGACGTACCGATGTATCGACCCTCTCAATTTTTGCTGCTGTGCTTCTTCCCGCCAGAGTCGGGTACATTCCTCATTATATCTCGGCGCTTGCTGCTGGAGCGGCAGATAAGCTCAAAGTGAGAGAGAGAGAGGCACGGGTAGCAGTGGCCCATTCACATATGTACAATTTTAGTGAGGCAAGCTACCTCCATCTGTTGCCGCTACTGTTGTTGCCCCTATTGCTGCTGCTGCTGCTACTACTACTACAAGTAAAACACGACTGTGCTCCCGCTGCTGCTGCTGCCGCTGATGATGATGATGATGATATTGATGCTCTGTACCCGGGGCAATCCTGAAACAACGATGAAGTTTTGAAAAGCCCAACCGTCGACGGACCTCGAGATAAACCTTTCCGTCGTTCGGCACGATCGGTGGCGGCGCCCCAAACTCGTCCCCGCCCCCCGCCATCTTGGGACGAGCAGCAGGCATTATCGCGGTCGTGGAGAAGTACGCCATGTGGTTGCGGAAGGCGCCGTGGACCTCCGTGCGGCCGGCCTTGTCAAGCGATGGTGGGCATTCCAGGACCACCTGTTGTTGTTGGTTGTTGGTTGTTGTTGTTGTTGTTGTTGCTTAGTACTGCTCGCTGGTGACGTTGGTCGTCGGTCGCCAGGCGATGAGGGGTTCCATGCAAGGAGGCCAAGGCGCGGGAGGCTTGATCCAACCTCCTTATTCTTAGCGCCAAAACGAGCTCGTTCCCAAAGTACTCTGGGGTTTGAGGAAACCTAAGCCACAGGATATGTACGCTCTGGCTAGCACAAGCATGATTCGTGAAAAGGCCCAGGGGAGCAAACACAACCACGGGTAGGGTGACCGACTCAGTGGCGCGTCGATGGGACAGACAACTGACAACGGTTGTCCAGTTGAGCTAAATCCCGAGATGCACAACAAGAGACGTGCATGCCTGTCGAGGGGGCTCCGGTGGGGGCAGGAGCACGTCGATGGGGCCGCCGACGCCGCCCCGCTTCTCCTCTTCCTCCTCCTCCTTCACGTCAAACGCCACCCTTGTCGCCACTTGGAGAAGCCAGTCTTGGAACTGGGCGGTGGCAGGGGCTGCGCGCGTGCGCGGATCGGAGGAGGGGGGTGGGGGTGGGGTGCGCACTAGACCCACGCCATACTAGTGAGACCAATGAAGGGGGGGGAGAGCATCATACAAAGTTCGACGTTCGGTTCGTCATCAAGACCATGGGGTGAAGAATGAAGCATGTGTGTGTTTCACTGACTAACCCCGGGCAGGCCATTCGCCAAACCAGGAGCTGGTCTCGAGGATGCTCCGTCGCACGTAAAACCAGCAAGTTGTGTACGCATCCCAGCAGGCCACATCAGCGACGCCTCATGCAAAACCCTGGAGTACTCGGCTTTGATATGTAAGTACACCAGTACCGACCGCCGGATACTACAACTGTATCCCAAGCAACACGGGAGACAGACGAAGTCTGCAACCTGAAAGTTAACGTTTTCTCAACGGTCTGCGCCCCCCCCCCCCCC